ACATAATCCACATGTTAAATACATTGAGTAGTTCTTTATCTTTAATTACATAGGAGACTCCTACAACTGCAGAGACACATACCTCCCCCCCATAAAACACAAAAAATAGTTCTGAAAAGAGCATACAATCTTTGCTGTGAATCATAAATATTTATAGCTTTGTTGTCCTTTTATGGTTAGTGCACTAACAATTAAAAAGTAACACAATATATTCCACTTCCCTGCTGCCACCCTCTGATGGACTGGGGAACTGCTTTTCCAGCGGTAATAAATTAGATCTGCATGGAAACAGCAAATCATCTGCCAGGGATGGTCAGTGACCGGCATGAGTCACCCCTGGCTATCCCTTAGCTCCGCCCCTAACAGGGAAGCATAAATAAGAGGACTGCTTTTGGCAGGTCTTAACTGATTGATCATCAATCCAACACATTGAGTTTCCTCTTTGAACCTTAGATGACTCAGATTAAAAAACAACACAGGAAAGTCCCTTGATGATTTTTTAATTAACTGACGAAAGAAAGGACTGGGGAAGAAAAACTCTGAAGAAACCATTTCTAAAGGTAAGTAGGCAAAGAATAGGTCAAAGATAAAAAAAAAACATTGATTAGTTTAAAGCAGGTATAGGTGATGAGACAATAACGTCAACATCTGCAAAGCCCTAAAAAAAACAGCCATCAACCTACACGAACCTGTCGGAGGCTGCAAAACTCTTGATGCAAAGATGTGTTAAAAACATCCAGTCCAGCACTGATGGATATCCATATTTTTGGGCTCCAATGAAGCCAAAGTCCCCTGGTAGGAGATTAGCAAACCAAACACAAAAAGCCTGCAACTGTGATTCGAAGAAACTTTCTCATAGTGTGCTGTGGTAGAAAAATTAGAAACAATAAAAATTATATTGGAAAAGTTCTAATTAATATCTCGTTAAATTGTATCAAATAAGTTGCAGTGACCATATCAAACCTTTGAACAGCTGACTATAACCTCCTATGGGAATCACATGTACAACCAAACAGCAATTCCTTCTCTGGAAACCCATTATATAAAGTGCAACTATGGGTTTCTATTGACATTTGATGCAGTGCTTAAGAGCCTTTATAGTTCATCCATGAGGAATAATGGATGGGTGTTCTGTCAGAAGCCTCTGGTTTTGCAGAGTCAGTTTATTTAATGATGTCCTGATGGAGCTTCCCCTGGAAAGTTATTCGATTCTTTTGCTTAAAGCTGGGAACAAAGAATCCCTCCTCTTGTTAGATCGCCCTGATAAGTCTCCAAAACAGTAACTACTAAAAATAAATGTTTAAAATTTTAGATTTTCAAAGTAAATGTTTTCATTTTTTTTTTTTTGCTTTCTTCCCTTTTGCAAAGACAGATTGTTTTATTCATTTGTATTCTCTTCAGTAAATAGGATGCTTCAAGTACATAGCAGGGGGAAAAAATAATTTTTTATAATTACTACCCTTTCAGTGTTTGTGGTTTTAGTGCATTTACTCTGAGAGCACAAATGTCCTGCTACAATGGACACTACACTCATGCACGTGATCAACAGGACCTTAAAACCTAAGATGGTTTCATTCTGCGAGTCTGCATACACAAGTTTATCCAATATTTTTCAATATTTTTCCACAGACGTTTTTTTTCTCTTCAGCTAACTGTCTGTTCACACTTTGACCCCTCCTTTAGGTGGTTCACCTTGCGTCCTCCTTTTGTTTTGGTTCTTTTTCAGCCCAAATGTACAGCTTTTAATTTAACTGAAAGTCGGAAACTTTTCCATATCAACAATAAAATAAATAAAATTTCAAAAATTTTAAGAAAACATTGGAAAACCCTTTGAGAATCATTTTATGAATTCATTTATTTAAAATATTAAAAATAAAAAAATTCAGATATTACCTCCCCCGTCTCAAATGACAATCAAACTCTTCTTGAACCTAAAGGTCGTGCTTTATTTCTGTGGAGAAGCTATTACATAGAACATCCTGCATAGGAGGAGACCAGTGTTAGACATCCTAACAAAGAAATATTATAATACCCTTAAAATGCCAATCCTTTAACCACTTATTTCAGAGATTATTGTTAGTTAAAGTATCATTTTTTTGCTTGACACAATTGTCCATTCAGTTGTTAGATCTCTTCACAGGACGGGACAGCAAAAGCAAAAGCTGAGAAGTAACTGCAAAAACACAAACACTTATTAATATTATTATCAATATACAAAAAGTGGTCTAGTTAATGTTTGCCACAGCAATGCAAGACATTATGAACGGTTTTTAATGTGACAAGAATTTCTGAAATTGTTTTTATGTTCACTTTTTGTTGACATAGAAGCCGTAATGCGATGCTGTGCAGGATAATCTTTGTTACCTTACCTCTTTTACTTAACGAGAAATCGGAATCATTAATCCTCTTCCAGTTCCAAGACTCGGACAAATACATAATATTTATACTCTGCATTTTCACTGCTGGAATATATATTCTCCAAAGGATATTTTAAATTACTGTGTGTAACAGATTTAAAAGCGAGGTGTCAGGATTGGAAACAAGTTAGTTTTTCTGACAATCTCTATGTTTTTTTCTTCAAGACAACCTCTTTAGGCATTAATGTTGGAGATAAAACCTCCAACTCTCCCACAAATCAAACTACAAGAGACATTTCTGTCTGCTTATAACTGAAAAGCACGATAGAAGATTGCTTCTCATTGTTTAACTGTATGCCTGCTTCTGTCTTCTCTAACCCCAGTCAACCTCGGCAGATGGCCACTCACACTGAGCCTGGTTCTGCTCGAGGTTTCTTCCTGTAAAAAGAGAGTTTTTCCTTCCCACTGTCGCACCAAGCATGCTTAGTGTGAGGGATTGATGATGAGTCAATGCAATCAACTGGTTTTCCTTAGATAGAAAACTTTTAATCAACTTGACTGCATGATCTGGTGAACTGTAACATGCCTTGAGATGACGTGTTGTGAATTGACGCTATATAAATAAACTGAATTGAATTCAATTGTTTCCCACCTAATATCTCCCCTAGTTATTTGAATGTCATCTAGACATCATTGTAGCTGTGCAGTGAAGGCCTCAGAGGTTTAATAGAGAATATTGATGGACAAATTGCAGCATGAAGACCCAGGAACCTAGGAGATAGAAAAACTGATGTAGATATAACCACAATAAGCACAAATAAATACATTCTAAAATCTGTTGGTTCCAAATAATTTTGATATGAGATAATAGAACAAAAACGTGCCAAATATATACGATAAATTTGACTGGATTATATTTGCTTATAATTATACTCTGCAATTCTTTATGTATAACATCTAAAATCTCGTTGGAATCAGGGGCCAAGCTAGATGGGGGGCAAGGGGTGTCCATGGCCACCCATGGCCAATCATTGGCCACCCCTGTGGCCACCCATACCATTTTCCCCCTCTAATCCCTCAAGTGGAATATACAAAACATTTGAATTTTTCATATATAACTATTTTTTCATATATTCATAATTACTTGACAACAAAAACACTGGTTAATTATGCACATCAATATACTAACATTAGGGATGATAAGAACAGAATTCATCCTCATTTCAGAACTAGATTTTGTGATATGGGATAAAGAAAAACTGCAAGTCTTCTAGGAGTCATCAGAGATAAAGTAACTATTTACATAAAAACGTATTAAATAATAAATTTGTGTAGATATTAGAACTTGTAATAGGGCTGCGTATTTTTGCCAAAGTCCTGAATCGATTCGAGTTTGATTCATACATTTCTAAATCGATTAATTTCAATTCAATCTGTTTTTACAATTGTGAAAGTAGTTCAACTGTGTTTCAAAATACTCATGTATTTTATTTTTCCTGTCATATTAAACACAAACTTGTAAATCAGACAGTTTAAACTTGAGATGTGAACAAAACTGTCTCAAAAGTGCAAACTTGCTTGTGACAAGTGAAAAAGTGAAGCCTCACATGAGCAAGCAGACGTGACACAGCAGACATGCATGAGCTGCATTATCTCCACTGTACAAACCATATTTGCAACGTTGTCTGTAATAACTACAGGGTGTTTGCTGGTCAGCGACCATTTGTTAATATCTTATGTTTTAAATCCAAAATGGTTCCAGACATCAGACTACAGTTGAGACAGCTTGCTGAGCAGTGTGTTACTCGCTTCGGCATTTGCACAAGCCTGCTCATTTGAATGTGAACGTCACGCGCATCACTATAAAACTAATTGATCTCATTCAGACACATCGATTTTACAAAAATGTAAAGGAATCGATCCAAAATCGATTAAAATCTATTTTTTACCCAGTCCAACCCTTAGCAAAAAGGAGTTTATTCAAGTATACTAAAAGTGCACTAATTTCATACTTAAAATCAGGCAGTGCACTTAGAGTTTACTTATTCTAAACTATATTTCATGTACTTAACAATAGTATAGTCAAGTGTACTTGACTATACTATTGTTTACTTTATTGTAAACTTAAAAATGTTCCAATTTAGTTCTAAGAAGTATTACTTTAGTAAACTAAAAGTACATTGTTCGGTATATTTTCTAAACTTATATTTAAGTATTCTGAATAGAATTTACTTCAAGTATACTACTTTTTGCTAAGGGTACTCGTAAATATCAATTTTATGCAGAATGGTTATTGTTAAAAGCAAATAAGTAATAACAATGGAAAAGATTTTCGCAGCAGAACTCAAACCTGAAAGAATTTTATCCACTATGCCTCTTATCTAGAAAGTTTAAAAATATGCATCTATTTGTTAGCAAAGGCTGTATGGTAAATTGGTTATTTAAATAAATTGGTTATTTCCTGGCCACCTTTAAAACCATTTTCTAGCTACGCCTCTGATTAGAATTTGTTATTTTGCGTGAGCGGTCCAGGACTGATAAATATCCCCGACTCTGTGGTGTGTACCATTTCCAGCCGCTAGATGGCGCCGCCCGCTATGAAATGTGCCTTGCGGACAGCAGGGGGCTGGATGTGGACCGTAGAGGACTCGTGCGGTGTATGTGGGGGGGTACAGCTGGTTAGGTGTGTTTTTAAGTCTCTTGGAGGCTCGTAGACCAGCAGGAGAGCAAGAAGGAGGAGCAGGAGGACTTGAAAACTTCCCCGCATCCAGTGAAAAGGGAATTTCCTTTAAGGCGTCCGTCGGAACCGAGTCGGCGGCTTTGTAGTCCAGTTGTGTCCGTTTGAGAGAAGGACCCCGGTCCCGGTTCTCGTCACTGGACCCATTTCCGGCGTCCACCATGGATGATTTAGGTGAGTTTTGTCGCCGTGAAGGCAGCATGAAAGCAGCGAGTTGTGCGAAGGTTGGCTCAATGCTGCCAATATGATGGCTTTTTAACCCTCAGGAAGTCTGCTCAGGATTTGCTGTCGCATTCTTCGGTCCAGCTGGGTTTAATTAAAACATTAGACACCCACTCGGATAGGAGAAAACACCGACAGCATGGGTGATGTGGTGGAGAACTAAATCGTGGTCTTTAGATGTTTTTTTTTTTTTTGTAAACTGAGAAGGTAGCGGGCAGTTACCATGCTGCGTTTGCAGTGCTGTGGGAAACTTAACCGATTAGTCAGGTGTTGTGTTCCCTCAACTTATGTATCATGATCACTTTGAAAGGAGAGGAACCCCAGAGGTTCTGGTGGTTGTCATGTTAAAAATAAAAACATGCTGCAGGCTGGAGCAGATTATCTATTTTATAACATTGCTGCAATGTTGCTCCTAACATGGACGGATAGAAGCAGCCCAGAGAGCTCAGAAATAAAAACACTTTGTTCCAGCATAGAAGGCATATGGAGGAGGATTAGGGCCACTGAAAAAAAAAGTTGACTGATTTTTAAATATTATTTCAGTTTAATGTGGAAAAAAAATTTAATTCAGACTTTAATCTCAAAATTCTGACTTTTTTTCCTCAGAATTCTGACTTTAATCCCAAAATTCTAACTCTAATCTCAGAATTCTAACTCTAATCTCAGAATTCTAACTCTAATCTCAGAATTCTAACTCTAATCTCAGAATTCTAACTCTAATCTCAGAATTTTGACTTTTTTCCTCGGAACTCTGACTTTAATCTCAGAATTCTGACTTTTTTCCTCAGAATTTTGACTTTTTTCCTCAGAATTTTGACTTTAATCCCAGAATTCTGACTGTAATCTCAGCATTCTTACTCTAATAATAGAATTCTGACTTTAATCTCAGAATTCCTACTTTTTCCTCAGAACTCTGACTTTAATCTCAGAATTCTGACTTTAATCCCAGAACTATGACTTTAATCTCAGAATTCTGACTTTTTTCTCAGAATTCTGACGTTAATCTCCCGTTAATGTAGATGGGCACCATGAAGGAAGAGATGTGTGAGCACACAGCTTCACTGACAAAGATGTGAGTTGTTTGGGAGGACCAGTAACACATTGATGGAAAAAGACGGAATTAAGCGACTTTTGACATGTCCAAGGGGTCCCCGTTGAAGCTATTTCATTAATGGAATAACAGAAGGTGATTAAAATGAGAGAGCTATTTTAGTCTTAAAAACAGACATGGCTACTGCTTGATGCTAACATGTATTTTTAGCTTTCAAAATTCAGTGAGAATTCTGAGATTAAAGTCAGAATTATGACTTTTTTCTTATACAGAAATAATATTTAAAAATCAGTTAACTTTAATTATGTTTTCAGTGGCCCTACTCGTCTTCCATAAATGCAAACCCTGAGGGGACAGGTTCCAGTGACAGGGAGGCTCAGCAGAATACCCTTTAATCCCTTTCTCTCCCTGTTTGCCTGCCTCTTCTCTTCTTGCATGTCATTTTTGATAAGACTCCTTTCCTTTTCAGCTGCATGAATGCAGTAGTTCCCAAAAGTATTAACACCTCCTGTACTTTTTCACATGTTATCTTACAACTAGAAAGTTTCATGTGTTTTCTTCATTGGAAAAGCGATCTATAAATAAGTAAAAATGTATTAAATGAAGTGTATTTATTTTTAAATTTAATAGGTAAATGAGATAAATGAGGTAAATTCAATATAGTTTTTTCTTATTACAAGTGTAAATTGTCTTGTTCCGTTGGCAAAATGTCTCTTTTACCTCCTCAATTCAAGAACAAATGCACTTATTTGAAGAAAAAATGAATCGTCTAGATTTCTATTTTTCCAGTGTTGTTGTTGTTGCTTTTTTTTTTTTTCAAAGAAACCTAAAAGTATTTGTGGAAACTCTTATTTTACCATTTCAAATTTTAGTGTGGTTATATCTCAAAAAGTTTTTACCCTTGCAAGAATTCTGCACCTTGAAAAAAACCTGCCTCTGTTTAAAATCAACATGATTTCTTCCAAAGTCGCCTGCTTTTATTCCAGCAGCATCCCTATCCAGACTGATTCCGACAGCATGATGCTGTTTCAAAGAGCAGATGGCGCTTTCAGGGAGATGCAGTGTTTGGTATAGGCCATGTGAAGCACTTTGAATGCAGGCCAGAAACTTCTGATCAGTTCAAAAAAGCATAAAAAAAAAAACAAATCCACCAGACTTTGTTTCCAATTTTGAAGATGTTTTGCTTCCCATCCAGGAAGCTTTTTCAATTAAAAATGTCAAAATTAGCGTTGGGTTTGAGGCTTTATAGTGTGTTTTTTTTTTTTTTTTTGCCGGGGGGGGGCTTTGTTTTTGTTTTATCAGAGGAAATAGGAGAAATGCATATCTTAACTTTATTGTTTTTAAAATTTAAGAAACAAAGTATCATTTTGTCGCAACCAGCCAAAAGTAGCGGTTTGTAGAGTGGCGTAATTTAACCTCAAGAGAAGACTGTTCTTATGTAATTGAGGCCTACTTTGTTAGGTGGAAGTGTAAAAAACTGTAACTCTCTTTGCAGTTCTCTCATCACTGGAACACTTCCACCCCCCCAGTGACTGTTGGGATAAGTATAGCAGGACATCCGTGAAATGCATTTCAGGACTTGAGTTCATGTGCTAAAAAAACACCCGAATGCGTTAGTGAAGTCAAAGATGATAAATGTGCAGCAAAGGCCATCCAAGAAATGTTATTCCCCACCCCACTGTGAACCGCAGGTGGAGCTTCTATTAAAACAACAGAGATGTTTCTTAAAGGGATAATTCAGTATCTGTAAACCGAGGTTTCATTAAAAGGTAATAAATGGTACAAATCTGCCCTGGTTTAAAAATGTTCCAATACATTCTATATTTAGTCACAGGTAGTCTGAGAGTAGCCAAAACCAAAGAGCTATTCATTTCAGAAAATGCTTCAATCTCAGATATATCATGGTGGTGTACAGCCTTTAACGAGGCTAAAGAGTTTATTTTGGACAGAAAATTACGAAGGAGTTGATAATTGAAGCAGGAAATGGAGGTAGGAGGTAGTCTTTTAACCAACAGTGTTACCATGTGAAACTGGCTTTTGTGGTCAGAAACTGCAATCAGTTAAGCTGCTGTTTTATTCTTGCTTTCAATACTAGTTTCCTTTTATTTTATTCTGATGGTTAATCTGATTTCATGTTGCAGGTCTTTAGTAAAAAAAGGTGAATGAATTCTCAGAGCGGTGAATGTCTAATTGGTTACCTAAAGGTGCCTTGTTTTACCTTATTTTAACAAATTGAAACAAATAAATTTTTTCTGAGGCAACATCAAATAAAGGAGGATGTTTTTGTTCTCAAATTTTACCAGCCAAACATTGATTTTTAATAACTTTGCAGATTCAACTGGAATTCTTTGGGTATAACTTGCAACTGCAATTGAATTTGCTATTCTGGATGAGGTCTAATCTAGTGTCTTATCCTTGAAGTCTAATAGTTTTTGTTTGAGTTGTTCATTCAGATCGGTCAAATCTTCACAAAATTCAATCTCCTTTAAGACTTTTCAAAGTGAGGTTTTTTGGTAAAGCTGTTAGCTACAGCCTCTGGATGAAAAGATGCTAGTAGTTATCTATGGATGCAACCTTTGATGTTTAAGATTTAAACCTGTTAATTTTTTAACTATTCTACAATAAAAAAACACTTTGGTGATTATTATTTTTTTTAACCCTGGAGGGGCTCCTGTTGGTTGCAGGGAGAGTAAACGGGGATCATTGGCTGGTCTATATCCAGTCAGTATTTATGGGCATCTTCTCAGCTTACGCTGCTATGGGGCTCTCCTTAAAGTAGCTGCATCAAAAATATGTGTTACACAACCCAGTGTAATTACTGTGTCACAGGGCTGTAAATCCAGTCAACGGTTTAGGAGCGATGCAGAAATGTGGCATGCAAACAGAGGAGTATAGACCAATGCTTCTTGTTCTTTCATTGTGGAAAATATCACAGATGTATTTAGTTTTTTAGGGGGGTGGGGTTCTTTTGTTTGTTGAAGATTAAAGCACAACCAGTGTGATGTTTAGAGCGGCGACGAGGAGATCACTCTGGCAAACCTGCTCCTATTTTTAAACTTCCAGCCCAGCGTCTGAAGGGCTGAGCCAGCAGCACCTAGAAACCTGCCACCAGGTCTTCCCCGTCCCCCTCCTCACTTTCCAGCTTTTTTTCCCCCTCCCAATTCCCCATATCCTCTATAAATCCACATCCTGAGATTCTCCCCCTAAAGGCTCCTTTCTCTCCCACAGAGTTTTGTTTTTCAGGTATTTAGAGTAGATCAGGCTCACATAGAGTGGACCACAGCCAACTAACACTACACTGCCCCACCCTCTCTTTTTTTCTTTTTTTTCCCCTCTCCCCACCATTCCTGTGGTTAAATCGTGAAGGAAACTGAAACCCTGGGATCTATTGACAGTCCAAAGCTGGTGGAGTGAGCAGGAAAGGAGATAAGCCTTTATGGTGAGAATCGGATGGAGGAAGATTGGAAAGGGTGTAATAATCAGCATCTTTGCAAATAAAAGCTTTGTTTTAAAATGCCAGGTGTTCCTTTGTGTTATGTGAATCTCAAAGCCGAGGCATGTCATCAGAGAAACTTTTATTGACCCCCCCCTGCCCTCCCCTTCTCCTCAGTTATCAGCACCGCCGAGCGCTGCCTCTTGCTTCACTGCTCCGGGCCTGCACCGACAAGACATGAATGTCAACTAGCAACCTCCACTTAGAGTTAACTTCATTTTATCGACTCCGATGCTCTGATCTGCTTTATAGGCGTCGCCGTCTCTCTGATGCGTTCCACTGCCACTTCAGTGGCATCGCTTCAGATGAAGTTAGTAGAGAGGCTTGTCGGCGCAGCAGCTCCAACGTTGGAAACGTCACTCAAGCAGTGGTACAGAGGAGTTTGTCTAAATTTAGTTTGTTTGGTTC